GAAGAGCAATGAACTTAAGAGTCAAAATACCAAGGTTCAAATTCTGACTCTTCCCCTTATTAGCAGTGTGACAACCTTTCTGGTTGTCACGGTTCATGATGTATGTTTTAAATAAACCTTCCATGCCTGCTTCTAAGGCCACAGTCTCCCTAACTCTCCTTCCATTCATCCATCCATCCATCCAGCACCTACTGAGTATCTACTTTGCACTGGGCCCTCGGAAATGCAAAGATGGATAAGCTATGAAGCCTACCTGCAAAGAGCTTCAAGTCCAGTGGGGAACACAGGTATGTAAATAGTCAGGCAACCAAGATGTCATGATAAAAATATGTGCAGGGCTGAGGTGCAATGGGGATTCTACTTTTAGTGGGAAAGATATAGGAATGGCTTCAGAGAAGGTTGGGATTGAGCTGAGTTAGGAAAGATGAGTGTTTACCAGGCAGTAAACAAATTTTTGACAGATAAAGAGACAGTGGCTATATAGATAGGTTCTGGCGGGAAGATAGAGAAGGATATCACTCCAAGTAGATTGAACAATATTTGCAAGGGCACAATGTGAAAGAGCAATTGCAGGTAGAAGATATGGCTTGGGGAGAAGAAAGAAGGATGGACAATAAGGTAATTACATCGAGCACCTTGCATTCCAGGCTAAGGAGTTTTAACTTGATCCTAGAGAAGACATAAAGCTACAGGTTTTCAATATCTGATAACACTGTATAGAAGAAAGATGAAGATTCAAGAGTAGAATCAGGAGAGCAGTAATCCACCCTAAGAGAATGGTGTTGGTAGCTGCCATAAAGTTCTAACAAAGAGAAGGACACTCCTCAGGACTTGGTAAAAGATCAGATGTGTGCTGGGGTTGAAATAGATATGACTAAAAAGGAGTTAAGAGTGTAGAGAAATAGAAAATGTATATGAAAGTAATTTCTAAACTATATACACAGATTGAAGAAGCTTATTTTATAAAATCCAATTAGATAATGGCAGAACCAGGACAAAAACCCTGTCTAGTGTTCATTTTCTTCCATCACGAAGAAAATTTTAAAAATTCATAACTGAATGTAATAAATAAAAATAGGGAATGTAGTCAGTAGTAGTGTAATGGCTATGTATAGAGCCAGAGGGGTGATAATCAGAGGGATTATTTCATAAATTATATAAATGTCTAACCAATGTATTGTATACTTGAAATTAGCAACAAAACAAAATAAAATGCTTAAAAAATCCTCAAGTTAAAAAAAAACTTATCTGTATTATAGAAAGATTTAATAGAATTTTTTCTAATTTTCCCTGGAGTACTGAGGTTGTCTCAAAGATAGGCTTTGAAGAAATTAGCCCTGTAATACATTAGGTGTATGACCTTGTGCAAGTTTTTAACCTTTCTAAGCCTCACGTTACTCATTTTTTAAATAGGGGTACTAATAAGACAATATAAAATTGTTTTGATGAAAAAAAAACACATAAATTATTTAGCACAGTGTCTGGCATGTATTTGGTGCTCAATAATTTATATCATTATTACTAGTGATTTGCAAAAAAGATTTAAAATATCGGGCCTATTAGACTATTATCCTGGGAAAGGCCTGCTTACAAGGTTGGCTCTTGGCTTGAACTTGGATTTAAGGACGGTTCTACTATTCCCAGCACTGATAAGAATGGCTCATCAAGACTAAACAGTTTGTACACACAATATGGTTTATGATGAACACCTGCTTGCTTTCTGGAGTCTGCAACTTTGGTACATTTTAGGCAAAGGATGCCCATGTAGTTAGCCTCCAACAAAAGCCTTGGGCACTGAGTCTCTAATGAGCTTCCCTAGTAGACAACATTTCATAGTTGTCACAATCCTATGCTGGAGGGATTATACACACTTTTTGTGACTCCACTGAGAAAAGACTCTTGCAAGCTTGTGCCTGGTTTCCTCCATACTTAACCCATGCACCTTTCCCCTCTGCTGATTTTGCTTTGTCTCCTTTCATTGTAATAAATCACAGCTGTGAGTACAACTACATGCTGAGTCCTGTGAGTTCTCCTAGGAAATCACTGAACCTGGGGTGACCTTCAAAATCTCTGACACAATTAGTCTCCCTACTACTCGACCTTATAAACTATTTGCCAGTTTCCATACTGGAACAGTATTACAACAAACCAACCAAATTAGTAGTACAAAGTCTAATTATTAAAAGTTACTGATTTGTTAGCTAATAATAGTTGCAGACTTACAGACTACTTGACATTTTTTTATTCATCATCTCAACATAGAGAAATCTTTCCACTCCTTCCTTGTTTTTCCACTGAAAATAGTAAATGTATTACTTTACCAACCAAAAAATGGCCACAGATTTGTTTACTTCTCTCAGTTAAAAATAAACAGTTGCCCATATTAAAAAGTTTAAGATAAAAATCTGACAGGCCTTTTTCCTGATTAATCTCTAGCCCTGCTCTTCTCAAGATTCCATCTGTTCCACACAAAGCCTCCACTGGAATATCAGGTGATCCAACCTATGTGTCATTTAGTTGCCTGACCAGAAAGCAAGATCACCTACAAAATCCTCTTTCTTCTGTGTTATTATGAGTAAGATCAAACAACATAAACTGCCAGGAAGATCTATTACCAATTCACTAGAATATGCAGAATCATGAGCTAATTGAGAGCAGTAAGAGCAAGTAGGACAAACCAAAGGCTGGCCCACAGAGGAAACTGAAACACAGGTTTTCCAATATCAGGCTTGGAAGAAATTTTTGGCTTGACTGAATATCTCATCCTCCAGAACAGAATTTCTCAGCATACTTCAAAAAGCACAATAAACTGTACTTAACGGAAAAAATTTTAATAAAAGCCTGTTGCCATCATGTCCAGAGACCCAGGAGAGATGGATGTCTGTTTCACTTTATGATTGAGAGTTTAATAAAGCACTAGTGGCACCTAACTACCATGAAGAAACTAGGAATCATAACTATTAAATCAATCAATAGCCTACTCACTGTTTTTCTTTTAAAAACAGAACTATGAACAACTACAATAAATGTCTCTAGGGCTATTTATTTTAACCGTTGAATACCCCCTATGGTTTATCTAATCCATCCCTAGAGTCCTACATTTTTCACAAATATTATATTTACACTTGATTTTAGCCAAAAGGCTGAGAAAGTGATATATTATTTTTAAAATACCTGTTTATTCTCATGGGTTACCCATGTCATGGCCCTTTCTGAATCACAGGTTCTATGGCTAGGGAGATGGGAACCAAAACATTCATCCATGGAAGACAAAGACCTGAGTACATTAACCCAAACAGGGAAGAAACAACAGTAAGGTGCCACCGGGCTTACTTAAGAGTTATCATTCAGGACTTCCGCCCCATATTCTCAGAATGTTTATTTTTTCAAGAATTCAGATTTTTATCTTAAACTTTTTAATATGGGCAATTGTTTATTTTTAACTGAGAGAGGTAAACAAATCTGTGGCCATTTTTTGGTTAGTAAAATAATACATTTACCACTTTCAGTGTTACTATTATTTCTATTCTTTCCTTAGACTTATTATATTAAATTCAAATTATAATAAATTATAAATTATAATAAATCATTACCATACAGCAAAAATTTATTAATGTTTCCCCAAAATATGTGTTTTAGATTTTAAAATAATTCATATTTTGGTCTTATCCTTTTGGAATCCTGAATTTTTCAGATTTAACAAATGAAATACAGCACATATGCTATATATTACATACCAATCCCAGCAGAAATTGGGACAGCCCCACATAATTAAACACGTTAATATTTCTACACATACACACATAAAAAAAGTTCACCCTGAGTAGGATAAACAAAGACTAAAAGTAGCCTCATCTCCAGTCAACTAAGAGTTTTTGAAGTTTTGGTCTTCAGCATTTTGGGGTTTAGGAAGGTGGATAAAGAACTATAGCCCTAAATTACATAAACCTGCAGAATTCTACAGCAGAAATTAACAGAGCTGAAGACTGCCACTGAGAAGCAATGCCATTCAGGCTGAACTAGGGGATCAAAATCACAGAGACAGCACTGGCAGCAAAAAACAAAAACAAAAAATGAAAACAAGGAAATCGACTGCTGAGGAAGGCGCTCTAGGAAAAAAGCAGAATTAAAACAACACCAAACCTCAAGATCACCAACAATCCACTGTAACCAACTAAACAATAGCATGTGGTCAACCAAAGGCAACCTCGTCTCCAGTCATTCCCTGGGACCCAAGAATACTTCTGGTCGGGAGCACCATGGTTGGACCTGCAGTACTATACAATGCATTCTCAACGTGTCGAGAGAAAAAGATGGGCCAGAAGTGACGATACATTCATGCACCTCATCTAGTGGTAAAACCAGAGGCTAAAACAACTGAAAAGCCAAGAAGATGCTAAAAACACACCTTCCCTATGCCACATGGTCACTGACCAGGTTTTTAATGGGCCGCTTCTCCCTGCTCAAAGGAATGCTGCAGTAGCTACTTGTCACCAAAAAAAACAGTCAAGTAGTTCTGCTTTAGGTCAACTTTAGTAATGTGTTACATCCACCAAATCACTAACCAGTTTTATGTAACTTCTACCTAATAACCAAGAAATATTCATAAAAAGCAATGGACATAGACACAGTTTATAGTGCTAAAGAATACTTTGATACATAATACACTAATTTATGGGAAAGAGCCATGTACACAATGTACTTAATGAATTCGATAAGGATCTAATTTGTTTTTGCTAACAGATTAACTCAGTAGGCTGACATAAAATGTATACCCATATATACTAAACCCATAATTGAGAGACTTGTGAATAATTTCTATCCGTATCCTAAACATTATCTTTCAAATCCAAATGATAACACATCATAACCTTAACTTCATTAACCTAAAGCTTATTCCTTAAGATTTGGTGGGGGATGAGGAGGGAGGAGTTGGGAGACAGTATCATAAAACAGTATCAACACAGAAAGCAGCAAAGTAAATTTTGATTGTCTCTTACCTCTGCTCGACCCTCATAATAGGTTAACATGGACTTCGTTAGTACAAAAAGCCTCTCTTTGTAGTTTAAAGGCGATGTTTTCTTTTTCTGCTGTGATCTTTTAATAAGAATCTCTTCTAGAATAGTGTTCAAATTCATCTCGGTCTTCTGGTCACTCCTTTTCCTGCCATTGAAGATTCGAGTATTCTAAAGCGAGAAAATGAACAGTTGAAATAAAACGTGACATTTTAATTTTCCAAGAACGCTGTTATTTCAAATTACCAAAGCAGACTTTATCCTCACCACAGCTGTAGCCAATGAATATGACTGTACCTGGATTGAGAATGCCCAGGGCACAAAAGCTCAACCTTTCTTTCCCCAGTCTCATTCGGTTCCTCTATATCCCAGCATTCGTAAGAAAATCTAATCGAGGTTTGTCATGACAATGATTCACCTTTTTTTCCCTCCTCGGCATCCCTTAACCTTCTGGCACACTCTTCTGCTATTTGATTACAGGGAAATAAATATCTCAGATGAAAAAGTACATTTAATCACCTGCATGGCTGGTTTAGCCTGGTATTTAAATTGCTTCAGGATCTTGGTACACAAAATGGATGAGCACATAGACATGGTAGATGTGTAAACAAAATGAATTACCACAGTGGTGGATGGGATTCAGTCTCCAGCTCTGACAAGGATGTAATCTTAATCAAATATCCTAGTCACCAGACACACAAGGATGTTCTCTGATGTCTACATCACCACACTGCACAGTTCTCTTCTCAACCATAAGAGGAAAGGAAACCCACCCAGTGACAGCTAACCTACTCAGGGTACATCTAAATAAGGCCCTCAGCAATATATTTGGTGCCTCTACACCCAGACTATCCACACCTAGCTAAGCCTTCTAAAATTCAACAAAATTTAACTCTCTGAAAACCTAAAGATATTCAGAAAAGGCTTAAAGATTCTTATCTGAGACAAGTTCAATTAACAACAGTCTCTCCTCCCCTTCCTTTCACCACACCTTTATAAGTCATTGCATATCAAACCATAAAGGCAATGGGAGTCATATGAAGAATATAAGGGTCATCTGATAGCATAGCCAGAGACCTGACACTGAGTTAGCCATTGAAGAATTCTACCATCTTCATGCCCAACCTGACACCTCAGAAGCACCCTTGCAACTCCCTATTACCGATTTGCCATCAATCAATCAGGCCCCTCCACTTTCCATGCAGTCACTTTACAACAGCTTAACCTCTGTATACCAGTTGCATTGTTTATAAAATATGAAACTAAATGCCACAAAATTATTGTAACGTTTAATGAGATGTAAGAAAGAACTTGTTATGAAAACACTACACAAATATTTATTATCGTTTTTTTAATTCCATTTTTCCTAGCGCAGAGCATTACAGTCTGGACTATAATTGCAGCTTTCCAATTGGTCTTCCTTTTCCCAGGTTCTTGCCTCATTTTATTCAAACTACATACTCCTCATTCCCACTGAATCACTCTTCAAAAATACCACTTTCATCATGCCATTTCAATCATCAGAAATCTTCAGTGCCTCCTCAAAGCCTCCCTACTACCTGCTGGATAAAGTCAAAACTCTTAGTTTGACACTGGAGCTTGTCCACAATCTGCCTGCAACCTAACATCCAACGTTTACTTCCACTGTTCCCCAACCACACCTAGTCAAGATACTTGGCATTCGATCCCTGGCCTAGAGAGTCTCCTCTCTCGACCTGTGAAAACTCCATTAGCTCAAAACTCACTTCTTCAATGAAGCCTTTCCTGATGACTCCAATTAGCTAAAAACCTTCTGATTCCTGTACTCATGATCTCTGTATCATTCATCATAGACCTCATCAGTCTTCCATATTCTATAGCAATTAATATAGATATAGATATAGATATAGATATATATCTTAACTTTCACCTAGATTTTAAGCTCCTAAAGAAAGAGTTTTCTACCTAAGGAGATTTTTTTTAATGCAGATTTCCTGGACCCACACCCAGATATTTAACTGGTCTGGACTGAGGCCCAGGGAATCATGATTTAATGTGCAGATAGATTTGAAAACCACTAATTTAAAGAAAAAAATCAAGCTCTTACACTAATTCTTTATACCACTCTTGGTGTATATGGCAGCCTCTCAATAAGCAGCTGGATAAAGGACACAATTAACCCATTAGCTATCCTAAGTTCAGAAGTCAGAGAAAAGCTCTTATTCCTTTTGCATCTAAGCTGGTCCTCCTTACTCTAAACCAAAATTTTGGTACTCTATTATTTTTTTTCTGAGAATCTGTTGATGTGAAAATACCACTTCTTTGGAGATCACCTTTTCATCTTTGTGCAATATATCCTCAATGAGGGGTAAAAACGATGACTTATAAGAATGGATCATAAGAAAAAAAGCAAGCTATGCCCCGGAAAACAGGCTGTATGCAAATGTGTAGTTCCCAGCCCAGCGAGTAATACCACAGTTACCAAATGGAAGGCAGACTTTTGAAAGGCCCTGGAGGATAAGTGGAGCATGGTTCATGGGCAGTTCCAGAAGCAAAAGGTCTCAACATCAGGGGCAAGAGATTCAGAAAGCTTAAAATGCGGGTTTCATACAGACTCACAAATATAGTGGACAATTTGGTGACGAACAGAGGGGAGGAGGGTTGGGGGACTGGGAGAATGGGGTGAAGAGTTAAAGAAGTACAAATTAGTAGTTGACAGTTGGTCACAGGGATGGGGAGCATGGTAGAGGGAATGCAGTTAGCATTAATATAATGGCTAGGTGGAGGGCCAGGGGAGGGAAGGAGCAAATGGGGGGATCGTTTTATGAACTATATAGATGTCCAACCAGTGTACTGTATACTTGAAACTAATTTAAATAAATAAACACTTTTAAAAAAAAAAAGTAGGGTTCATAAAATGGATCAAAATTCAGAATGGCAATCATCAAGGGCAATACTAGAAGTTAGAAAATAATGAAGAAAAATTCCAAATGAAGTTGGTTTCTAATCTAAAATTCTATACTCAGCCAAACTATAAATGCAGTGACAGGAGAATAAAGACATTTTTCAAATATGCAAGGCTTTAAAATTTTTATCTCCTATTTACCTTTCTCGAAAAGCTACTTGAGGATGTACTCTACCAAAATAAAGAAGTAAACCACAAACTACATGAAATCCAGGAAACAATGATTCCGACACAAAAGATTGCTGAAGAGAAATCTCCCAGATGATGGTGAAGGAAAAACCTAAGATGACATTGAGCAGTAAGCTAAGAAAGCAACGAGGCCAAATCAGGTCAACTTAGAAGCTTTTTGGAAAGAATTCTTTCAGGAGATGAACCTGAAGGTATTCGGAGAAGATTTATAAAAAATCAGTAAAACTTAGTTAACTAAAATAAAATTAAATAAAATAAATCTATTAATTATAGGGAAAACAAAAAAATATACAGAAAAGAAAAATAATCACAGTATGCTACAGAACTCAGCTACAAACAGCGTCTAGAATATCATACTAAGGTAAACAATAAATAACGATCTTACTACTAATACAACTATATTGGGGGTAACTGAGTGCAGGAAATGTGCTCGTGTGTGGGCGGGGGTGTGCATTGTGAAAGAGAGCTATATCCCCCATAGTATTAGCAGGAAGTCAATAGAGCATATCTAAAATTGAAAAAGCAAGAAGTGGCAGCATAAATATGTTACTTAGAAATTGACGGCACTAAAACAATTTTTAAAAATAAAGATGGTTGCCTCTGAAAATCATAAAATTATTGGAAGACAGCAGTATAAAGGTGTATGTTCTCTGCTTTCCTTCCCAAAAGTCTATTCAAACTATAAAACATGAAGACCAGAGGAAAATAATCCCATCTTCCAAAGAACGAAAGATGGCCTTCAGCCCCAGACTATAAAGTATGAAACACACACCTGTCAAACACTGTGAAAAGTGGACCAAAAGAAAAGAGGAGGCTGAGAGTAGATTTCCCTAAAAGTAAACATTATTATCCTGAAAGGTCAAGCCAGTGACCTTTTGATAAGATCAATGAAATCCAGAGGGATAAACAAGCATTGGAGAATCAGGGAGTATTCCTATAGAATTACTACTTATACAGAAAAAATAATAAAAATTATAATTACCATTATCAAGCTTTTACTCTTTCGTTATATACTGTTCTAAGCATTAAGCACTTTAGATGTATCAAATCATTTAATTCTCTCAACAAACCTTCTCAAGTAGGTACTAGTACTACCTGTATTTTACAAACCACGTAGTAAGAATAAGAGCCAGGTTTTAACCCAGGCAATCTAACCATAGAGCCAGCACAATTAACCACTACATTACATGGCCTCTCTAGGGAAAGGGAGAAAAAGCATAACAGGCCACTTTTGGCCTCCTAGTTTGGGGAGAATGCTGAAAACAACTGGATTCAATCTCTAGATTTTAACAGAGATAATTTCTGACTTTCCAAGGCATCACTAAGAGGCATACCAACCTCTCAGTATCAAAAACTGAAGGGAGATATTCTCTCTGAATAAAGGAAATAATAGTGTTGATGTTCTACATTAGAAAATGAAAATAAAACAAAATATCAGAGTACTCTATCTTAATCTTCCAGTGATTCTCCACACCACAAATAGCTGACCTGTTCAGACATAGGAATCATAAAGAAACCAACTCTCAGTTACAAACATCTTCTTTAAATAAAAATCAAAACTACAACTTAAGTACTTTTCTCTGTATCTCACTGGAGTTGAACACAAGAACACTATTCTCTTTACCTTAGCTACTAATCATTAAAAGTTGGGAAACCTTAATAGACAATCCTATTGAACCACAAAGACCCCAAATTGCCAAAGCAAACTTGAGAAAGAAGAACAAAGCTGGAGGCATTATGTTCCCTGAATACAAGCTACATTACAAGGCTATAGTAATCAAAATACTATGGTACTGGCATAAAAACAGACACATAGATAAATGGAACATAATAGAGAATGCAGAAATAAACCAATGCCTGTATGGTCAATTAAGTTACAACAAAGGAGCCAAGAATATACAATGGGGAAAGGACAGTCTCTTCATTAAATGGTGTTGAAAAACTGGACAGCCACATGCAAAAAAAAAAAAAAAAAATGAAATTGGACCACCGTCTTATACCATACACACAAAAGAACTCGAAATGGATTAAAGACTTG